ATTAAGTCATCATTTCAGCCAACAAATGATTTGAGCCAACAGATGTAGAGCGGAACCAACATTCGTCTTGGAAGAATAAAAAAAATACATTGTTAAAAAAACTCTTTAAATAACTGGAAATCCCTAAATTGAAATTCTTTGACTCAATCCATGTACTACCCAGCAAGCCAGTTTTCTTCACGAGCAGTAAGAAACTCTTAAGTGAAGAACGGAATTATATGCCATAGTGTCCCCTCTCCTCTGTACCTGATCCAAGGAAGGAATACATACATCCTCACAATCTCAAGTCATTGCAGGAGTTTTAACATCTGCTCAACTGCCTAAGTAACACCAGATTGCTCCTGAAAGTGCAGAACTACTGCATTAGTTAAATTTTGCTTTTTGAGAGAGGTCTGACAAGCTGTGCTTTTCCTCCACTTAAAAAGCAAAGTGGTTTTTTTTCATTTCAGGAGATATACACATTTATCTTCAGTTTTAAAAATTCTGGTCTGGACTAAAAGTAAGCAAATAAAGTTCAAAAAATAACAATAATTAGAAATGTCTATTGGCTGAAGGTACTTTGAAAACCATTGCTTTTAATAAATGTACAAGTAAAAAGCCACACAGCTGAAGGAACATTCAACATTTTAAATGCATGTCAGACTGTCTTGTAGCTCATCAGCAACACAGTCAATACCACCAAGGTAGCTTAAACAGCTAACCAACCAAACTAAGCATCTACTTGAAAACTCTATCATTACCTGGCTCTCCAAGCTTCACTGATGTTTTTGACTAGATCTTCTCTGACTAAAATGAGAACTTAGGCTAATTCTTATGCAGGCACTTGCACTAGAAGGCACTGACATCCAGAGAACAGCATTCACAAGTAACTGTTGAGGACTTAAGTTTCAAATAAGTTTTATAGCACTATTTAATTTTTTTTTAATCAAGTTGAACTGAAGATAGCATTAACTGAACAAGGCTTTCAGCTAGGATTTTCCCATTAAGGTGGTATTTTATAGAAAGGAAGCATCTGTTCATAATAGTACCTTCAACAAACAGGCTTCTGTCTCTTTACTTAGAGCAGACAATGAGCTTCAGAATATATAGTAAGCAATAAACTTGCAAAACAATTCTAAAATGACTAATAAGTACCATACTACTGGCTTTTAAAAAAGAAAACCAAAACACATTATTGTGAATACATATATTCATGCAAAAGGGAGCAGCACCAGTCTTCATACCATGTTCGTATGGCGAAAAGGTTCCAGCATCTATGTTTATGTAAGGATCAATTTTGATTGCAGTGACACGTAGACCACATGATTTCAGAATGGTGCCAATGCTGCTTGCAATGATCCCTTTGCCAATGCCTGAGATGACACCACCAGTCACCAGGATGTACTTCATCGGAAAATCAGCACACACACACAAAGACCTTGACCTGGAAACCTAAAACAAAGATGTACCTATGATGAATGCAATTTCATGTCAGGGAAGAACACAGACTCAGTCTACAAAGAATCAAAGTTGAAATGACCCATGACCATTTTGGAATCTGGGAGCAGGATTCACCTCTCCCAGCCTATACACCAATACATAAGCTAAGCATGTATGTTGTCCCAAAACAGGTTCTTTCACCCAGTGCACAAGAGGCAGATCCACATGCAGAGTCGCTGTATTTTATTTACTTCCAGTTCTGTGCAGAAAGGGGTGCTGAGTGGCAAATCCTCAAAGCCAACAGAATCACTACCAATTCACAATTTATACTTTTTAGCAAACGAAACAACTAATGTTCATTGTCTACAAGTTACATTTCTCTACCCCACCTGAAACAGGATGATGTGTGTATCTCTTCCACAATTGAATTCATATTCCATTCAGGCAGCTGCAGAGGCTAATCACTGGAACAATTTTTGAGCAATGACAGCATGGCTCACCACAGAGCAAAAACTCTAAGGTCAGGAAAATCTTTCCTTACTTAAGGACCCAGTTCATCCAAAACAGCACAAAACCGCATGGGACCTAATGGCACTCAGTATAAATCAAAGCAGTACAGTTCTTCATCAGATGGTAGTAAGAAGCAGTCAGTGAATAAACATTGTATTTCTTCCTTTTACTATACTGAAATAGCATAAATAAGGCCTGGATCTTCAGGAGACTGAGTTCAAGAACGTATCAATGTTTGTTATCAATCCTCTTTCATTTATGGTAATGGGAATAAATAAAGTACTAATTGCTTTTCAATACGGACAAAAGAAAGACCACAACCATTAAAAGTATTTAACTCAGGAGAAAAGGATGACCAGGAATTAACTTTCCCCTGCCATTTAATTTTAATTTGTAATTTTTCTAATAGCACAGATTTTACGATTTGGAGCCTACTACTTTCAGACTATTCCTTCACAACTCAGCTAATGCCCTTGTCACATTTCATGAACATCTAAGCCATTTTCAAAGCTCTTTTCAGGAAGAGGGGGGATAATTTTAATAACAAGTATAAATCTTGAGTACGTGCCAATTCAGAACTCTAAAACCTTGCTTACAGGAACCAAAATTAAAAGCTCGCTGTGATTTTAGGAAAAAAAACCGCGATTTCCCAGCAGCCTCAGGAAACGCGATGTTTACTCGCAACAGAAACAGAGAACTACGCGCGGTTTCGGAAGTCACTTGTAAAAGGAGTGAGAAGTAAGGGAGGGCGAGCTGAAAGCGTACACAGTAAGAGATCATTTCGCCGGGAACTGGCACGAGTTACTCCGTCCAGCCTTATCCCCGGGAGCCGCCGCCTCCAGCCGGGATTTGCGGGCGCTGCATCCCGGAGGAGCCGCCCCGCGCTGAGCGCTCGGGGCGCCGCGGCCGAGCGGGGAAACTTACGGCCGAGCCTCCGACTTACGTGGTTGCCACAGGCGGGTGCTCCGACCGGGGCCCGGGGGCGACGACGAGGAACCGCCGCGGGGCCGCCGGACCGCAGCGAACCGCCGGGGGAGGCGGCGGCGCCCCGGGGGAGCCGCAGGTGAAGCGCCTCCGAGCGCCGCCGGGGCGGGACGCGGCAGCGCCCAGCGCTCAGCGCCGCGGGGCTCCCCGCGAGGCTCCCCACGCCACAGCCGCCACAGCCGCCACAGCCGCCACAGCCGCCACAGCCGCCACAGCCGCCACAGCCGCCACAGCCGCCACAGCCGCCACAGCCGCCACAGCCGCCACAGCCGCCACAGCCGCGACACGCGCGACAGGTGCGGCGCGCTCCCGCCCCACGCGCCTCCGCTCCACCCCGCCCGCTCCCGCCCCTTTCCCCGCTCCCGCTGCCGCTCCCGGCGGAAGTGGCGCACGCGGAAGGAGCGCGGAGCGGCCGCCCCGGTTTCCGCAGAGCAGCGCCGGGACCCCCGAGCGCGGCCGCCACCGCACCCAGAGATGTTGCGCGGCCTGGGCAGCTGGCTAGGGCTGGAGCGGGCCGGGGAGGAGCAGCTGCTGCCCGCCGGGAAGAGGAGCAGTCCTGAGGAAGAGGAGGAGGAGGCGGGTCCGGCCGCGCAGGAGCAGGAGCAGGGGGAGCTGCAGGAGGACTCGGAGGCGCTGCTCAGCCAGGCCAAGGGGCTCGGCAGTGAGTGTCCGGTGCTGCTCTAACATGTGAACGGCTGCGAACGTGCCTTTCGGTTGCCATTTCTTTCAGAGTTGTTATTAAAGCAGCAGCGTTTCCTTAAGTATCTGTTCTGTTGGCACTGTGGGAAGCGGGCTCTGTATAGCTAGAAATAAGTCTGTCTATAGAGAATCAGTGCACTTCATGAATTGGTGTGGGGAGTTGTGGGGTTTTTTCATAAGAAAATAATGAGGTTTGATGATTTTTTTGAACTCGTCTGTCATAGAATCATAGAATGATTTGGGTTGGAAGGGACCTTAAAGATCATCTCATTCCACGCCCCTTGCCATGGGCAAGGACACCTTCCACTACACCAGGTTGCTCAAAGCCCTGTCCAGACTGGCCCTGAACACTGCCAGGGGTGGGGCAAAGCTGTAATTTGCTATAAGATCCCTGCTTTACTGTAGATTCATAGATAAAATTAATCCAAAGTACAGATCTATACTTGTTACCGAAGGGTTTTTTTAAATTGATGCTCTGAAATGCTGGATCAGTATAATCTGAGAGGTTAATCGGAGATAGTTCTTGACTGTGCTTTGTCTTGGGCAATCTGAACTGCAGCAGTTTTGCCTGTGGAGATTGATCAAATACTAGTCCTGTCTCATTGTGGTAAATTGATTCCAATCTGCTAATTGCTCTGGTTGTTCAGGAAGAAAAAAGTACTTTGAATTTCAGGGGAAGAATAAGTGTTGACTGTTACCAATATTAAAGTCCATCCCATAATTTGCTCTGGAAGCCAAAATTTGGTTTAGTGATCCATGGGTTCATTGTCTGTGACACCAGGGTAGGTTGTGGTAGAAAAGCTTTTTTATAAAGATTTGGACATCACTGTTTTAAGACATAACTCTAGAAGCATCTGCACGGCTAACAAACAGGGTAGCTATGTAGAAAAGATGGCACATAAAGAATTTCCCTGGCACATAAAGCATTTTACTGGTAAAACCAAAGCCTTACAGATGTTATTTTTTGCTCATTATCATGGCATTATAAAAGTTATGAAAGTTTTGCCAGTGTGAACTAATAATAGCATTATTGCTACATACATGTTCTTAATACAGGCATAGATTTATAAGATGGAGGGTAACTTTTTTGGTCATTTGAAAGTGGAAGTGTTGTTTTCCACCACGAATTCTATTTTTCTAAGGCTAAGTGCCACCTCATAGTGAGGTTTTAGAAGTACCTTACTTCAAAAATACCTTTGCCCTTAATGAAAATAAAAAGTATTTTGCTCTTCAGCCCAGTTCCAGGACTGGCCAGAACTACTTTGTCCAACAACACCGGAATGTCACCAGAAAGCAAATGTCTGAGCACCTTTTGCACCTAACACAATTGCATATGAGAAAGTTTCCAGGGATACATGAAACAACCAATAAAAGCTGGTACGGAGTAAGCGATCCAGTAGGCTGCTGCTTCCTCTACTCTTGTAAAGGGAATAGTTATATGTATTTATATCTAAAGTGTAGAAGTTAAGCATCTTTTTGTATGTGAAGCATGTGATGAGTTGTAAAGCCATATAACAGATATGAAAGATGCTGGCGAGTACTTCAAGGATGTTTGGTTGCCACCATTCTGTGGCCTATAAACAGAAGTTACATATAAAAACCTGGCTTGCTTAAAGGCTGGCTAGACCTCTGCGTATTTCAGTATTGATTTGGTGATATCATACCAAAGACAATATTTTCTACACCACAAAAACAGTCAGCTTTCCCAAAAGGTGACATCAGTGTTCCAAAGTAACTCATTCTACCACTGACTAACAACTGTGTGTTAAAGGAACTCACTTTTTTTTTTTTGCATGGTAAGACTATTTCTTACATTTCTAACCCATAAGGAAACTGGATGTTTTGAGAGGTCTTGAGAAGGAAGGTTGTTCTGTTTCTGAAGCTTTATGAAATACATCTTGCTGCTTGCAAGTTTGTTCTTAAAAACCGATAATACAGTGCAGATGCCCACACTACATAGTTCTTTCCCTGCCAGCTCTCTTCACTTCAGCTAATACAAAAAATATAAGTCTTTGGGAATATTTGTCACTGCTGTTTTGACACTGAATATATTCAGAAAAATAAGTGAATAGGGCCATGGTGCTTTCCATAGAGATAAACAGAGCAAAACAATGCAAAATAGGTAATGGCAAAAATCAAGAGCAAGCTTGTATGTTAGGATTTTTGAAGGAATATCAGGTGTTACTTGCATGAAATTTTTCATGGATTTTCTGCTTCACTTTATGAGATTTTATTGTGCATTTTGTTTTTCTTTTTAAAATATATATAATTATTAATATTAAATTATATATTATAAAATTATTATTATATACAATAATATATAATGTTTTAATACTATGGCTAAGTTAATTTATTGCTTCATGTCTCTGAAATGCTTATATGAAATCAGGAAAGACCCATTGCTTCAAAAACTCGTTGGAAAACAGTATTTCAAGGACCAGTAGGAATGTTTGATTTAGTAAACAAGGTTCACATATGAAAGTTTGATTTACAGAATGTTGTGATCGAGCATAGAGTTGATCATCATCATTAAAGAATATATACTAGAAAAGGATAAATATAATTTTAGGAGTTCTTTGTAGGCCAGAAGCTGGGTTAAGTTATTTTGAAAGAAACTTTTAAGTAGGTATGCAAATGTCTAAAGAGAAGGAAAAATAAATCTAGTAAAAGAATTGGATGTAAAGAGATCTTTTCTTAGGTCTTTCTCTTTTTTTCTCTGTGAAAGGTTACCTCTTCAATTTTGCCACTGCTGCTACAAAAAAGATATCTGAATCCGTTGCCGAAACAGCACAGACAATAAAGAAGTCTGTAGAAGAAGGAAAAATTGACAGTATCATTGATAAGGTATTTTATTTCTAGATACCTTTCTGAAAAATCTGTTTGCTTACTGTTGTTATAACATGTGGCAAATCTGGCATGTGATAACCTTTCTTTAAGGTGTCTTAAGGTGTCTTAAGGTGTCTTAAGATATTATGTATTTCAAAAGATACTGTGCATCTCCTGTCATGATGAATGATGTGATTGAAATGTTTAGTCATGGTAGACCTGCCAAAAAATGGTCACTGGCTTTATTCAGTACTGCACCTGTGTTCCATTCCTTCAGGATGTTCATACGCTGGAGAAAATACAGAAAATGCTGACTGTGCATATTCCTACATGACATGTAGGAGGAAGGGCTGGAAGAATTTGAGACAAGCAGTTGGGGGAATGTCTGTCTAGAGATGTGTGGGCTGAGTTTTTTTCCCCCCAGTTTATTTAGTTGGAAGAAGAAATGCTGTAGCTTGCATCTTAAGTGCATCTCTGAAGCAAGAGTCAGAATTAGCTCAGTGGCTATTAAATCCTAAAACCCGAGAGCTATACAGGTACAGTTTCAGAAGAGCCAGTGAGCTCATGAAACACCTTGCTGTTGTCCTGTTCTTTTACCCACCCTGACCCTGCCACTTATCTCTTGCCCTCTGTGTTCCTGGCTGCCAGCTCCAGTTAACTTCTGCCAGCAAGTGTTCTTCCAGTGCTTTAAGTCACAAACTGGGCAAAAGGGGAAAAAAAAGGCAATAAGTGCTATGTAGTGTTCTGTGTTTGTTACTGAGGGTAGCTTGGAAAGGGGAAGGAAAAGGGAACTGGCCAAAACCAGTGCAGCTGCAGTAGGACTGTGCCTCCACGAGTGTCTGAGGGGAGATGCAGCCAGATCCTTCTTCCTGCTCCTGTCTCTGACAGCCCTTCAGGGGAATGACAATGTTGCCTTTATTTTATTTTTTTAATACGATGAAATTCAATTTCTTGATGTAATTAGTGTTCATGTTGTCTTCTAAATAAATCATCAAATGACACTTCTGAATTTCTATTATGATCACATTTTGTTTCAGATTTCATTGACAACAGTCTACAGTATATTAGAGTCTAATGTACTTTTGATCCACATAATAAAGAAAAAATCAAGTAAGAAGGTTATCTGTTAATTTAATACTGAGTTGCTGAAGGAAAAAGAATTATAGGAATTTATCAGGATTTAGCTTGAAGACTTGTGTGCTTTTTGGGAGCTTTTTAAGCCATAGATCTCACTGCATAAAATTTGTATTTTGCGAGTGGTTTAAATATTCGTTTCTAGCTTTATGGTTTTTTGCCTCTGCTTTCAACTACAGCACATTTGCATTGTTACTTCTAGATTATGGCATGCCATAGTCTGAGACCATTCTCCAATTTTTAATTCTAAATTCAATATAGGATATTTCTGAATGTAATTTTTTTAATGAAAATTCATCAACAACATAAATGGAGAAGTTATTTCAGCTAAGAAGACATTCTGAAAATTCTGCTTTACAATTTTGCAAGTCCAATTTACTGCAATGGATGTATTTC